ATCTATGCATCTATGCATCTATGCATCTATGCATCTATGGATCTATGCATCTATGCATCTATACATTTATACATATATACATATATACATATATACATATATACATATATGCATATATACATATACATATATATATATATATACACATATATACACATATACACATATATACACATACATACGTATAAATATAGTAGTATATATGCATATATCTTGCTGAATTATTCTAATTCACCAACCTGTTTTCAGAGCTCAACAGTTCCGCCATTTGGGGATTCGCCGAAAACATAGTGAGGTCATGATCAAATTCATCTATGAGCTCTCGTAAAAAAATCCCCGTTCTGCCACCATTGTTGGTGAAATATCCACTTTTCTTTGATGGTTACCAAAAGATTGAAAATTCAATTAGGGGCGTAAAAGAGTGGTGATTTACCTTTTTGATCTTCTTTGATCTTAAGATCTTCTTTGATCTTAAGGGGATTTAAGCCAAACAACATAGACATTCAAACAAGAAAAACCTGGGATTCAAGCAGAATAATTCGATGGTGATTTTTACAGCAAACATGGGATACCCTCTGGTAAACATACAAAAAACGATGGAAAATCACCATTTTTCATGGGAAAATCCACTATTTCTATGGCCATGTTCAATAGCTTTTTGTATGTTTACCAGGCCCAGTATATCACTGGTTCCAGTGGCTCCGTGGTGAACCATCGGATGGAACTTCATAGGATTTCATAGGGCCCCACGGTCAGACCGATGGAAAACCAACATTTGAGGTACCCTCTGGTAATTTGTTACAGTTTGCTATTGAAAATGGCCATAGAAATAGTGGATTTTCCCATTGAAAATGGTGGATCTTTCCATAGTTTTTTGTATGTTTACCAGAGGGTAAACCAACTGAGTATCCGTTTATCCCACTAATAAAGGGTTTCAACCATCCTTTTGCTGCTTTATAGGATTTCGCAACCATCCACAGTACGACTGGGGGTATAACCATTCAGGTACCTAAAATTAAGATACGTTAGTACCATATTGTTGGCCACATTTTCTGGGGATATGCCCTTAAATAGGCCTGAAAAATAGACATAGACCCTATATGTGGTAGGTACCTCCAATTTAAGTACCTGAAATGGCCATTGAATAAACCATCCCCAATTTGTGTTTTATTCTTGGCTATACCTCTACTTGGAATGATGTAAACCGAAACCAAATGGCTGCTTTATGGAATGGTTTATTTGTTGTGTTATCACATCGTTTACCAATCTGAAGCAAATGCAAACAGGCCAATTCCATCAAACAGTGTCAATATCGTAAACCCAATAATAAACCACACTCCATTTGACCAGATGTTCCAGTTGCACCCAAAAAAATCGAGGGGTTATCAGATAATGTTGTTTATTACCAAAGCCATAACATGGATCATAACAACATGATGTCTGTACTGTAAATTCATAAATATATGGATTTCTATCCTAAAGTTGACTCCTCAATCTGATACGCTACTTGGTGGTGCATCCCACTTAGTAAATGGTTCAAAAAAACACTTATGTATATATATATATATTTGAAATATTGCTTATACGATTCGTGGGGCCCGCACATCCAAGTACGGAGGCCAGCTCGTCCGGCACACCAAGTTGCTCAAACGATGCCAGCGTGATCTTTTCACTGCAGTCGCCTGCCGCCATGGGCCCATAGATGCTTTCATACCTCGCTGCTGTCGCTGCTGCTCCTCCAGGACTAATTTTTCAATATACCCTCGCAATGGAAAATCCCCTACAAATGGAAGTCCAGTGTGAAAATTATCTATAAATAGGGAATTTTCTTGGAAAATGATCTACAAAACGGTTGGTTTTCCGCACCTATGTTAGTTTACAGGAGGGTATCTGCCATAAACCTAACAGTGAAACAGGGGTTGGTAAATGTCCTATTTGAAGATCATGCAAGAAAAGGTAGTTATTTCTCTCCAACACATCCTTGACTGTGATGTCCAAAATCCATTTAACAAAATGGAACCTTTACCAACCTCTGTATTAAACTGTTTATTTACCTATCTAGTGAAAGAAATGGGGCGTCAGGGTTTGTCCGAAAGAATCAGATACCCTCTAGTAATTCAACATAGCTATGGAAAATCACCATTTTTATTGGGAAAATCCACTGTAAATGGTCCATTTTCAATAGTTATGTAACAAATTACCAGAGGGTATCCCAAAAACATCCAAAAAGTTCACGTCATGGACCATCTCAACCGTAAATAGCCGCATAGCCCTCAAACGCGAGCCTGAAATGTGGATCTCTTCAATTGGTTTACCCTGTAGGCTAGGCTTTATCCTCTTTGAATTGGACTAAGCCACGATTTCGCGTCAAGGGGTGAAGCATCGATGATTTGGTGGCGATTTCGCTTGGGGGAACCCGGGGAACCCTACGATTCGGGAATAAGGACAGATCAATTCTACATTTGGATTGATGAAGACTAAGCAATTTGCAAAAAAGGGGAGCCCCGTCTCGTACAAAGAAGGCCTCAAAGGGTTGGTATGCCGAATTTCAGACACACCCATATGCTCCATATTGTTGGTTGTAGCCCGTTATAAGTTATATCCTGTTATATCCCATTACATCCCCATAAGACTGTTGGTTTTATACCCCCAGCATACCAATTGATGTTGTTAAGCATCATAATGACCGGTGTATCCATGAATCTGTGTTAAGCCCTCCGTGTTTCCTTGGTTCAAGCTCTATTTGGGGTAGACGGTAGACTGAAAATAAGCTACCCCTAAACCTTCTGCTTGATCTGATCATCAAAGTCCCTACAAATGTCCATTCAGTGTACTTACAGTATATAGTACCGTATACAGTATACCCTCTGGTAAACATACAAATAACTATGGAAAGTCACCATTCTTGATGGGAAAATCCACTATAAATCACCATTTTCAATAGCAAACTGTTAAATTACCAGAGGGTACCTTATTTTTTTCAGACAAACTCACTCATTGGTGGTTGCTTCAACCCATCTGAAATGTATGCTCGTCATTGGGGATCATCCCATGTCTATAGAGAAGCAAATCAAATCAAAATACACATGAACGAGACTACCAGCCAAATAATCCTTGGTATTATATACCCAAGATATTCCCAGAAAATATCCCCTATGTACCACCAACCAGCTAGTTAATCCATTAGATATGTATTAAATCCCGATCCCCATAAAATCCTCATGATTTATCCACCTTTGCTTGCTGGCTCCCACGAATCCTGAGTAGGTTATTTCACCCTGGTAGTGGGATAAGTCGGGTTGCGTAATACACTTATAACAAGGGCGAACTAACCCAAGGTACTAGCTTTATCATCCATTTATGGTTGTTCCATGAAATAAACCACCAAGCATCATAGTTAGCTAGTTAGGATTCGTACGATGAACCACCAAGTAGTCGAACTGCGCATTTCTGACCCTGGCAAAAAAATGCTTCACCTCCACGAAAGTTCCGAGAGACTCTGTGCCGCAGATCTTCAGAGATTGGTCGTAGCTCAAGGTCACAAAGTCAAAGGGTTCCCTGGGTTTGAGGCTTCTTTGGGGATTTAATGGCATTCAATAGGATTTTAGATTTAATGGGATATTCATGGGATTGGGAATTTAATGGGATTTTAATGGGATATGAATGGGACTAGATTTTTGAGACTTCATGTAGCAGTTTTAGCAATATGTTGTGGGAATATCTGAGATTTTTTCCTCAGCTTACCTCTGGCGGCCTATGGAACTGTTTGGATGAGTGAACATACACGCACCACACAACTTTGCCAGGGGAACCAAACCCAGAAAAACATCTGGGTTTAGGGTTTAGGGTCCGGCAAATGTGCACTTCACGAATTCTGGGTTCCATTTGTCTGGATTATGTTCAAATCAAATAGCAACAGAATAAGCATGGAAATCTCAAGAAAATTGGGAAATGACAGGATCCAAGCTATCCAACCAATAGAAGAAATGCAGCAAAGTATGCAAACATCAAAGCAGTATGTGGGTACAGGGCCAACCATGTTATTTTGTGGGAATATGATGTGAGTTAAATCTGTCCGGGAATCGTGATTTTTACCCCGAAATGCACTTGTGGAAATTTGGAAAATGGGCTTGGTCTTTAACCATGGGATGAAATGTGGTACAGTATATTTGCCGACAAACCATGAAAATTGATACCATCCGGTAATCAAAATGGGGTTTTTTGATTACGCTCTGGTAAACATACAAAAAGCTATTGAAGCCATGGCCCAGTCGAAAGTTCGTGAGTTGTCCCAGCTATAAAATGGTGGATCTTTCCATCGTTTTTTGTTAACGTTTACCAGGCCGGGTAATTATGGCTGGGCAAATCATCGAACTTCATGGTGGCTATTGATCTTCATGTTGAAAGCATCTGGATAATATACCCTAAATTATGATGGACCCTGGCAAACAGGGGTTGGAAGATGAGCTTCCACTTAAACTGGATTCATGCCAAAGCTGGTGGGCTTGTGGGGGGACTTCACCAAATCCAACTGCTCTCGAAATGAGAATATTGATACACATCAATGACCTAGCCTATGATCATTTACCGTGGTTCAAAAGAGGCAGGGAAATCCAATCTTTCCATTTATTTTTTTTTTTACATGTTTTTCCCACTAAGAGTTCTAGTTTCCCAGCCAGCATGCTTGACATAACATAAATGCCACAGCGAATCTTGCCCGTGAACAGAACGTAACAATATCTTTTCAGGATGGGAAAAAAAAGACTTAGCATCAATGGATTGGTTTAAGGGAAAATCTTAACCGGAAACCATAGATGTTCCCATTAAAAACTATGGGGTTTTCCGGTTAAAATGTTCTCTTAAACCAATCCATTGATAGCATCAATTAATTCAGCGAGCACGTATCATGTTTGGGAAACTCTTCATAGCTCCAGTGCACGGTTCATCGAATCTTTCTCATGGCATACCCGGCCTGGTAAACATACAGCTATTGAAAATGGCCCAGTCGAAAGTTCGTGAGTTTTCCCATTGAACATGGTGGATCTTTCCATAGTTTTTTGTATGTTTACCAGGCCGGGTAAACCTCCACTAATCACCATTAGATCCCATGAAATCACCATGAAATCCCATTGATTCCCATTAAATCACCATTAATCACCAGTAAATTCAGGAATACCCCATGTTCAGTCTCCAAAAATCATTGTCGCTAAAAGATGTTCCAGTATATCTCCATGATATCCCCATAGAAGGTTCGACAAATTCCCAGGCCATGTAATATTCCAATTACATATCCAGTTGAAGCCCCATTTCTACAAGGTGCTGCTGTTTTGTCTGAGTCCTAGTTTGCTTTTAAACCTCATCAACTAGTTCGATATGACATGATTGAGATATCCTGTTTATAAGAATAGTTCTTGAAGTGATAAATCAACTTGTCTATCTGGGGGGGGCAATATTAACATCATATGTCCATTGGATCCTCATTATATCCCGAAATCTGATCTAAAGTTATCTAAAGTTGTTTTCCTAGTTAAAGCGGATTTTCCATTATGTAATTGTATCCTCATATCTCCAAACTTGGTATTTTTACAGCTAGTTTTACCAAATTCCCAGCGGGTATGTATAGTACAGTTGACTAAGTGAGTGCGGGTTAGTTCACCCTAATTATGCTATATAGTTGGTTTATAACCCCCATTAACTAGTTCGATATATTTACCATAAATCCAAATCCCACTTAGTAAGTGGTAAATCAACCTGCTTAAAGTTAATCCCCATTCAGTGGCCCCATTTACAAGTAGGTCATAACTATGGTTTCCTCGTGAAAATTGCACCGACTTGCGATACAAACCAAGCAACTTAAGTATCTTTGCCTAGTTTAAGACTTATAAAATCTTATAAACGATTTCACTTAACAGCCCTTTTTCTTTTCAGAAAACACCATTTTTCACCGCGGTGAAATCTCAAAGTGGCTTCTTCAAAGGACTATTGACAGCAAAGGAGATATGGTCCCGAGGGTGAAAGTCCTGTCGACAAAAAACTCCCACGGCTTTTGGTCGCTGAAAAAAAGGCGAAAAAATCGTGGTGATATAGTGGTTCTATCTGGTTCGGTATAGGTTATATAGTGGTTCTATCTGGTTCTAGTCGTTGGTTATAATGATTATAGTGGTTATATTGGTTGGAAAGTGTTTTTTCTTCATGGTGACTCATGGTGACAATGGGATTTTTTGTGATATATATATATATATATTATATATATTATATATAATATATATATATACATATGTATGGGGCAACTCATGGAATATTAATGGAAATATACCTGGGGATCTACCCCTCCGGTGAGTTATCTTACCAAACTGTGTGCATTCACCATGGTTTTTCTCAGTGAATCATCGAGCTAAACGGGCCAAACGGCTTCCATAACAATGTACCCTCTGGTAAACATACAAAAAACGATGGAAAATCACCACTTTAATAGGTAAATCAACTATTTCTATGGGCCATGTTCAATAGCAAACTGTTAAATTACCAGAGGGTAAAGCATAGAATATTGTGATTCAGCCATCAAGAATCGTGACTTAAGCATCAGTATCTTGGATTTGATGGGAATCGGATATGGGATTTCAATGAAGAAATGATCAGTGTCAAAATAGTCGGATATTGCTCTGTGTCGACCAACCATACGCATATAATATTATATATCATGCGGTTGTTGAGCGGTAAAAAAAAACATCCGAATGATTTTGAGCAGTGAAACGGCTAAAAAGAAATCGCAAAACCATGGTTCAATCCCCAATAAAATCAATCGATGAAGCTGAAAAAGAGTCTGCGTATTGTTGGAAAATTCGTCCATCTTTGGTTGATTTCCCTGATTCCCAGGTTATGGATAAAATGAAATGAATGAAAATCATATGCCAAACCGGCCCGTCGATTCTTTTCAAGAAGTGAGTCCTCCCAAAAAGAAAAATCATATCATGGAAAACATGGAAAACCCAGAGGTGTCTTAAAGGCAAAGATATCTTGATATCTTGAGGTAAACTGACATAGATCTGGAAAATCAGTTACTTTCCCAAGGAACTAAGAGAAACAAATGCTGGATGTTCATGGATCGTCCGTCTCGGGGTCGGGCTTGTTGAACCCTTGGTAATGTGGGCGATCCTTAAGCCACAAAAACTGGGACCTAAAACACTTTTATGGGGGATGACTATATGTCATTACTATAGTGATGTAGCATGTATATACGGATATGGATATGTAATAGTGATAAATTGAACCTTTTCTATCTTTTTGGGGGTTGATACATACATACATATATGTATATATATATGTATAATAGAATGTACTACTTGGTGGAAAATATCTCTGGATACTTTTTTTTGGCTTTTGCCCACTTTCGATTCTTAGGTGGTTCACCACCATGCCGAACAGGAAATCTTACAGGAAACGATGACAGTAATGATATGTAAGTACAGTACAATAATACGAGTAATAATACGGAAAACAACAACAACAACAATAATAATGGTCATACAAATGACAAATAATAAATAAATTCATGATAAATAAACAATAAAGAATAAAGAAATGATACGTGAATAATAAATAAACAATACATAAATACAAAGAAGTAATAAATAAATAAATAAAGAAATAAATAATAACAAATAATAAGTATAAATAATAACAAATAATAAATAATAAGTGAAGTATAATAAATAAATGATGAGTGAGTAATAAATAAACGATAAATAAATAATGAATACATAATAAATGAATAATAGATAATAAATCATAATAATAAATAATAAGTAAGTAAATAAGAAAAAAAATAACAATAAATATAAATGAATCATAAATAAACAATAAATGAACAACCATAAATAAGCAATAAATAACCAATAGATAAATAGACAATAATAAGAATAGGAAAAATAATTCTGCCAATATAAAATATAATTAATATGATGAATAAATAATAATAACATATAATAACGATAAACATCATAATACGTAATAGTTTCTGGAACTCAAAATCATCATAGTTGATCCTTACCTTACAGTTTTTGATCCATTGCATTGAGGATTAACCATTTGAGATAGGGATCGGTTTTAATCGTTTGGTTGTCAATGGGAGAGGTCTTCACCACTCAAAATCAGGAAATCAAACCGATGATGTACCCTCTGGTAATTTAACATAACTATAGAAAATCACCATTTTTCATGGGAAAATCCACTATTTCGACTGGGCCATGTTCAATAGTTTTTTATTTCTACGGTCCTTTCGCACGCTCGGAATCAACGAGAAAATTATGGCGGTCACGGATTTCCGATTGGGGGATGTAACCCATGTTGGTTTCACCAGAGAAATCACCACCAAATCACCACCAAATCACCACCAAATCACCAGAAATCACCATTAAATCACCATAAACCATGATAAATCATCCAGCTCTTACCAGGTGATTTGTTTCCATTCCCAACTCTGAGGTTTGTTGTTGGCGCACTCCTACATGCTATGCACCCAAGTTTGGAGATATGTCCAGCATGAAAATCATCTCCCTCACAAGGCTGCATTCCCATCTTGAAGTGGTGAATTACCATACAATATGGGGCCCCCAGTCGATAGCTTTCAGTTGGTTTATAAGTGGTTTAATTGTGGTTTATGGTAGATATAACGAACTAGTTCATGGGGATTATATATCATGCTTTATAAACCAATGTTCACATCACTGGGGGGCCCCATCCTGTACTTATCATGTCAAAAAAAAACAATCCTACAAGCCCAACCATCCTGTCCTCCGTGAAAGTTGTAAAGTCCCATTCCAACCTCAGAGGCGCCCAGTTTGGACCCTGGGGGCCCTGGAAAAACCTGACCCAAACTGACCAACTGCCTGGTTTTCTGGAAGAAAATCAATAGGTCTGGAAACTGGAGCTGTCTATATATAAGAGATGTCTGTATATATATATACAGATATACATACATATAAATATAGATACATATAGATACATATACATATATATATATACATGTATATACATGTATATATGCGCTCAAACCCCCCAGTTCACCCACACAACTTCTTAGGGATTTTGAAGGAATATAAAGTCCGACCCCCGTTAAACTGCACATTCAATTGGGAAGATCAACAAGGGTATTAGGAATATAAATTCCCACCCCCGTTGAACTTTACATTCAATTGGGAAGATCAACAAGGGTATTAGGAAAATAAATTCCCACCCCTGTTAAACTTTACATTCAATAGGGAAGATCAACAAGGGGATTAGGAATATGAATTCCCACCCCCGTTGAACTTTACATTCAATTGGGAAGATCAACATGGGTATTAGGAATATAAATTCCCACCCCCGTTAAACTTTACATTCAATTGGGAAGATCAACATGGGTATTAGGAATATAAATTCCCACCCCCGTTAAACTTTACACTCAATTGGGAAGATCAACATGGGTATTAGGAATATAATTCCCACCCCTGCTAAACTTTACATTCAATAGGGAAGATCAACATGGGTATTAGGAATATAAATTCCCACCCCCGTTAAACTTTACATTCAATTGGGAAGATCAACAAGGGGATTAGGAATATAAATTCCCACCCCGGTTGAACTTTACATTCAATTGGGAAGATCAACAAGGGTATTAGGAATATAAATTCCCACCCCCGTTAAACTTTACATTCAATTCGGAAGATCAACAAGGGTATTAGGAATATAATTCCCACCCCTGCTAAACTTTACATTCAATTGGGAAGATCAACAAGGGTATTAGGAATATAAATTCCCACCCCTGTTAAACTTTACATTCAATAGGGAAGATCAACATGGGTATTAGGAATATAAATTCCCACCCCCGTTGAACTTTACATTCAATTGGGAAGATCAACAAGGGTATTAGGAAAATAAATTCCCACCCCTGTTAAACTTTACATTCAATAGGGAAGATCAACAAGGGGATTAGGAATATGAATTCCCACCCCCGTTGAACTTTACATTCAATTGGGAAGATGGTATTAGGATGATGCTGGTGATGATGATGATGATGTTGATGATGATGTTGTTGTTGTAACATTCAACGCACAGGTAGCTAAGCTGTGCGTTGCAAGATGAAAGCCATGATCATGGACACGTGCATTTTGTCCCACAAAACACAGTGTTTTTTGATGTTCGGACATGTCGTCGGCGTCGGCGCGGGCAAACTGAGGGGTTTGCCCGTATACATACCTATATAGATACATGTATATATATATATACCTTTATAGATACATATTCACATACATTACATATGTATATATATATATATTCATTTATATTATATACATATATACATATATACATATATACATATATACATATATACATATACACATATATACATATATACATATATACATATATACATATATACATATATACATTTATACATTTATACATATATACATTTATACATACATACATACATACATACATACATATATATATATGTACATACATTTACATAAATATATATATGTACATACATTTACATAAATATATATGTACATACATTTACATAAATATATAATTATATACATACCTGTATACATATACATGCGTGTATATATATATTACAAGCCTACATTATATGCATATATATATATATATTGTATATACTATTTGTGTATTATCTATGTATAAAACATGTATGTATTATATAGAGGTAGAGAGAGAGATGTGACTTCTATGAGCAGTTCTCCAGACCTCCCCTCGATGGGGATTCCCATCAAATCCGTATCATGTTCATAGTCCTCAGTGATTCGACTGTGGTTTGTAAGCCAGATATAACCTATACAACCCATTTAATTCCATATATAAGTGGGGATATTCCATGTATATATATATATACTATATATATATATAATACTATGATATATATATATATAACTATATATATATACTATATATATATACTATATATATACTATATATATACTATATAATATACTATATATATACTATATATATATACTATATATATACTATATATATACTATATATATATACTATATATAAATATACTATATATATATACTATATATATATATAACTGAGGGTATAACCATAGTCAAACCCCTCAAATCATGAAATTACAGAAGTCCGCTGGGTTTGTCAACATGGTATCCCTAAATCCGTTGCTTCATGTTCCCTCTGAAAACTGCCACCAATTGGGGGTACCTTTTTTTCCCCCGTTTTCATACACGCCCAACTCGCAACTACCCTCTGGTGAACTAACATAGCTATTGAAAATCACCATTTTTAATGGGAAAATCCACTATAAATGGCCATTTTCAATTGCTATGTTAAATTACCAGAGGGTAGGTTATGATCGCTCCAAACCGTGCAAATCATGGTCTTGAGGCTTTTCGTGGCAGAATAGGCCCAACAGCCGTTGGAAAAAGCCTAGCATGGCTCATGTCGTCGCGATTCGCGAGCTGAGTTCAAATTGAGTTCTACAAAACTCTCCATCCAACCCAGTTAGATCAACCAAATCCCCCATTTCTTCTTAGTTACCCTCTGGTTATTTAACATAGCCATGGAAAATCCCTAATAAATGGAGGTTTCTAGATGGGAAAATCATCTATAAATGAGCCATTTTCGGTAAATCCCAATGCTCTTGATGTTTATATGATTTATATACGTATATGCCAATGTTGGTCCAATCCCCATTGATTTTTCTTGGTGATGCGAAGTCGTGGCGCTATCCAAGCCAATTTTACCCGGTAAGTTGGTCGGATCCCCATTTGGAGGTTTCCGAAGTCATGGGGGTACCCCCAAATCATCCAAATTATTGATGCGCAAACTATAGTATTGACACAACCTATGGTGACTTGGGGATCCCCCCATGACTTAAGAAACCTCTATATCCCCATTAATTATGAGCTCCAATATGATTCCATTGTTATACTATGTATAACCATAAATGGACTATAACTATATAGAACTATATATAAATATATACAACTATATAGAAATTAATATAAGTATATATAACTATATATAACTAGATATAACTAGATACAACTAGATATAACTAGATATAACTAGATATAACTATACATGCCTATATATAACTATAGCTACATATCATATAACTATATATCACTATATTCATGGATTATATGCGGATATTCCTAGTTGTCCTTAGGTTTCCTTGCCGAATCGAGTCACTCATTGACCAACTTGTTGATGGTGGGAATTATTTCTTCCGCTCCTGCCACCGGCAGAGAACCATCGGCCTCTACAAAGTCGTTCCTCAGCCCCAGAGCTAAGGGGTGAAGCAAGCAACAGAGCTTTAAGCAACAAAAATGCGGACTTCATGGGGATATAATATATATATATATAGATATATTATATATATATATTATATATATGTTGGATATATATATATATATGAGGAGACACACAGACTCACAGAACCAACAATATGATTTAGGTTTGCCTGAAAATTTGAAACATTCCCTGACGATCATAGGCCGGAAAAATGATGATCAACCGTCAAATTTGGGGGTGCCCTATTTTCAGACAAATTGCCATGTGTAAAAAGAACTTGGGAAGCAACAATTTTGTGGTAGTTCCGATATAAAAGTTCCATTATTGATAGGTTTCCCTACTATGGCTTATCATAATTAATCCCCAATAAATGAGGTAGCATAAGTGCCAACGAATTAATCAATCAACCAGGCTAATTTGTTCATGGCTCATTTGGTTGCTCCATGCTCCCCCAAAAAATGGAAGCACACCTCGTCATCCGTGTTTGATGCCATGCGTTCCATGCATTGTCCAAGTCTTGCTAAGCTTCAAAATCCCAAAATTGTGTAGAAAATTACTGCTAAATCCACAAAAAGTGGTTGAAAATCCCAATGTTTCACGATGAACTCGAAATTTTTGGGGGATTTCCCCATCGCGGTGCTCGGAGCCGCCCAAGGGTCTGCATGTCCACCACAATGATGCCATACTTTCCGTCCTTTACACCTTGGATGGGTGGCCTAGCCCTGGCTTGACATCGAGTTGTCTGAGCCAGAAATGGAGTGACTTGAAATCGGAAATCCTCGAGTCATTTCTTATTTGATGTGGTGGTTAATATTGGTTAATAGTGGTTAATAGTGGTTGATAGTGGTTAATAGTGGTTGATAAACCCAATAATAATTGGATATGACATGATGTGGGTAAAACAATGTCATTTTTACCACCCGTGACTGGGAATAGTTTATACCACCTATAAAAATGGTGATGACTGGGGGATGGTATGAGATTGTTTTGCCCACATGGAAATCTTCGAATAGAAATCTCTCTGGTGGTTGGAGTCCCAATGGGATCATACTGGTGATCCATCACAATCCTGGCGAACAATCCGCCATTTTTGGATTCTAAAACCAGTCATGGTGTTTGGTCGCGGACGAAAAATTAAGACCTTCAAACTGGCTGCATACGAATTGACCACAATTCACTACCCTCTTCGGGTTCCCCTTGAGCATAAGAATGCTGTATTGGCTGGTATACGGTGACATGACATTGAAGATCAACAATGGGGCATGTTTCACCTTTTAACTCATACAGCTGTTTTGAGAAAAAATACAAAATCGGAATTCAATCGTCAAAATGGTGGTCCGATCAAAATTGGTGTCTAAGATTCAACATGAAAAAATTGGAGGTTTCCGAAGTCATGGGGGTACCCGGGGTGCCCCGAATTGTCCAGGTCATGAATGACCAAACTAGTTTGGTCATTGAAACAACCATGGTGACGACTGGGGATCCACCATTGTAAGAAACCCCAGAAATGAATTATTCATATGTATATATATATTATATATATATATTATATATATATTATTTATATATATATTATTTATATATATATTATAATATATAATATATATTATATAATATTATATATATATATATATATTATATTATATATATATTATATTATATATATATTATATTATATATATATTATATTATATATATATTATATTATATTATATTATATTATATTATATTATATTATATTATATTATATATATTATATTATATTATATTATATATATATTATATTATATATATATTATATTATATTATATATATTATATTATATTATATTATATATATATATTATATTATATATATATTATATTATATTACATTATATTATATTATATTATATATATTATATTATATTATATTATATATATATTATATATATTATATATATTATATATATTATATATATCATATATATTATATATATATTATATATTATATATATTATATATATTATATATATTATATATATCATATATATTATATATATATTATATTATATATATACTATATATATATATTATATTATATATATATTATGGATTACACACTATATGCCCATTCTATCCCAATAATTATTCTTAACCCCAATATTCTTCCCATTCGGATTCTCCCAGAGGCTTTGGGATACGGTGGACATTGGGCATGCTGGGCCCTGTAATACCCAAGTTGAAGCATGGGTCAGTCATCTACAAGCAAAAATATGGTAGATGAGCACAAAGAAAACAACTAGATTTTATCCACGATACTTGAAATGAATTTCATGCATCGAGCAGCGCTACTTGGATTGTGATAGTTCCCAATATAGAAAGGGATACAAAGGGTAGTATTAATTATTAAGCAGGGGTTCGGTTTAGCAGCCTCTTGCCCACTTGAACATCCGCGGTGAATAAGTATGATTCTAGCTCAAAAAAAAATAAGCCCCTAGGCGATCTAAAATCTCATAAGATCCCTAAAACCATCGGAAAAAAAAGTTGAAAAAAAAAACCTGTCATTTGCCACCATGCTAGTAGGAGTTGACTTTTCTTCATCTGTTTGGAGGTTAGATCTACGGGAGTGGAAAAATGTTTAAAATCACCGGGGGGGGTTCAGGACCAGTTGATTATCTGTAAGAGGATGACCATCATCTGATGCTATCTGGATATGGCAACTGGGGTTCCCAATGTTGGAGGTAGATACCCTCTGGTAAACACACAAAAAACTATGGAAAATCACCGTTTTCAATGGGAAAATCAACTATCAATGGCCATTTTCAATAGCTTTTTGTAGGTTTACCAGGCCGGGTAACTTGGAGCCACATCCTTTCGAACACACTCCGGGTGGCTTCCTGGTTAAAGCTAAACATCCCTTCGGCACAGCCCATATTTTCCACCGGCTCGAAACATCCCCATGGGTCACATCACCCAACCATGACATGGTGATCATGGTCTACTAGATGGCTACTTTTTTAGGTGATGTCCTTTATATACCCAAAATGGGACAGGCAGTTACCAACCCCGATTCTTGATTTCTTTTGCTGGCGTTATCACTTGCAGTTTCGGGGCAAAGACGCAGCGAACTGGCAACTGACGTTTGATTGCGCGCCGTCTCAAGCCACGATGTCACAACCCTACCCCACAGCACCCCTACCCCAACCCCATACCTGATTTCGCGTGCAGGCGTGTGCGCTGGCGCAAGAGAAGTATCAGTGATGAGACATCAGATCTATACATTAGCATCTACATGAATGTCACTGTCCCGCCCCACAACAACCACAAAATGTTGTGGGACAGTAAAAGATCCGTTTGCATAAAAACCCCTCGAAAACCCTGGCTGAGTAATTGGAGCATTGTCGATTTCCGTCCCATTTCCACCTGCGCAATTTTTTCCAAAAATCCGGGTACCCCCATAACCTACAATATCAACAGATCACTTCGTCACGCAACCAGTCATCAAATAGCTTTGTCTTTGAAGAGAAGAAGCTACAAGTGGTTTAAAGTCCAAAAAAAAACATGGCTCGTCATCTGTTTTTTGTTCCCCTTAATATGGCAATTGTTTTTCGCATTTTCCCAGATCTCCAGGATTTCATGCCCAGTGGCATTTGGGCCGATTGCCGGACGTCATGGACGCCGTTGACACCGTGGCATCGGCGGAGTCGCCGTCCACGGTCGCCTCTCCGGTCTCCGATGCCGTCTCCGCTGCCAGAGTCCTTTTGTGTTCCTCCTCAATCCTCTCCGTGGTCTCCTGACCCGATTTTTCGAAAGAAAAAACGTGGAGTCGAGATCATGTTTTCGGCCGGCCAAGATTTTGATTGATGCGACGACTGGTGAGCGTTTGGGTTTATGGGGAACTAAATAGCTATGGCTTGTGGGTTTATAAATCAACTAACTTGGGAGCCTCAGCTTGTAGTATTAAATTCTGTGTTTAATGATGCTTAATACTATGGTTCATGATGGTTAGTCAGGCTTGATAATTGTTATCAACCGTTGGAAAGGGGTATGAGCGTGGGATTTTAACCTCCAGAAGTTGGGATGTGGGCCCTTACAACTATGGTGAAATATACGTATATATGTGTGTATATACATATGTGTATATATATATGTGTGTATATATATGTGCACTTATATAGTGGAACTGGGTTTGGAGCTGGGTTTCTTTGCCAATACTTCCCAATCGTCTCGCCTTTTTGGAAATGGCAAAAGATGAAGTTCTACGCATCAAAACTCACCTGTTTGCCCAGACTTAGTAAGGCTTTATTACCCTCTGGTAAACTAACATAGCTATTGAAAATGGCCATTTATAGTGGATTTTCCCATTGAAAATTGTGATTTTCCATAGTTATGTTAGTTTACCAGAGGGTACAGCTTTCAGAAATGTTCCAGCCAAAAAAATTGAAAACACTCAATCAGAAATCGTGATGATAATAAACTAAAATCAAATGTCTAAATAATAGTCACAATAATAATAACAATAATAAGGCCTTACGAAGGAGAGTGTAATAAAGATATGCTCGAAAACCGTTTTGGGTTTCACTCCTGGGAGCTCCTTGGAGAGATCGCAGAGAAACGTGTGCACCGGACTGAACACGTTTTAAACACAATGAATAACGGGATCTATTTGCTGAAACTTCAAATGTACAGATATGTATATATATATATATACATACATACATATAACTTGACAATTTATACAATAATCTCATTACACACACACACCTATATATATATTATACGTGTATATATACGTGGGACAGTTATATGATATAGGATGAAACCAATCATATAAAATAATCATCACCAAAAAATAAAAACAAAAAAAAATAAAAATAAAAATAAAAAGAATAATCATTAAAAAAAAAACGAAAAAAAATGATGATGAAAAAAAATGTCTGTCCAGGTTTCTGCGGCAGGCTCCTGCAGAAGTTGTGGCCAAGGGGACTAAGAGCTTGGGCGTTGGGCTGTGTCCATTATGGTGACCTTAAATATATCATTATAATCTACATATAACAGATATGTAAACATATTTATATATATTTATTATATTATGTCATATTATATCTTAAAAATAAAACACTCCCATTTTTTGGTCAAGAAATGCACCACCGTTCACCTGACACCTGATTCAACTGTTGAAGCGGCAGATGTCCTTTTCATCCTGTTCATCGGGTGAGAGCGGCGGCAGCTGCAACAAGGTCGCCTCTTCGTAGCTGTCGCAAGTGGAAGCGGCGCTGCTCGCAGCGTTCGCAGCGTTTGCCACGAGGGCTGCAAAGGTGAGGATGGACTTCCACATGGCGATATCGGTTCGGTCAGGCCGCTTGAGCCTTGAAGGGCTGACAAAAAAAAAAAACATGACTTAAGAAACCTCCAGTGGGCAATTTGGTCAGTGCAATGGTGAAATTCAGCGAAAAGTGAAAATGGGACCATTGCACTGGTTCCGTTGGAAAATTGGCTGTTTGAAGCCATGTATTTCACTACCAAACATAGAGGCCTCTGTAGGTTGTCCCTGATTCCAGTTCTGGGACCGAAACCCCGCTATCTCCGAAGTGGATTCCCAAATGTCCTGACTCAAAATCGCCATATTTTCGCTGAAGATCTAAGAAACAGCCAAAAAAATCCCGAAATCACCGTGGAAACCCACTCCAGAAGCTCCCTGCATCCACCTTGCTGCGCCGGATGCCGTAAAAGCTCCACCTCTGAACAAACGTTCCGACGGACGTCGTCGCCAAAAACATTGGGGATTTCACCCACATATTTTCGAAGAAAAACATCGGAAAACATGCGGAAATCACCAAGGTAAATTGGAATTTGATCAAGAGTATGGGTGTAGCCAACCGAGAAGATGGGGTTTTCATCATCAAGAAGATGGGTTTAACCAGCCCAAGCGGGGGATTTATCAGTAGAATTCACAAAGTACTGGAGAATGGACATTTACCCTCCACAAAATCACCAGTTTGACCCAAAAAATAGCAACTTTTTCATGGTGCTTTATATTTGGGGTGATGATAACCAGCGAGAATGAGGAATTTCCAGGCTTAACAAATCATTCCCCAGGGAATGGCTTTTCTATATCTGCTGTTGCTCTACCCAATGGTAAATGGATTCAATTGACAGAAATAGATATTACTAACCGTTACTAACCACCAAACGTTGCAAGGTGCCCAGTTCGTTAGCTAAGTTGATTCGTTTCACAAGGTTTGTGTGTTGGGTGTGTGGTGATTTTGACTATAGGAGCTGGTGGATCAATAAACTAGGGGGCCACCTTGTGTGACTTGTGAGTATGCATAAGACAAATTGTCTCAAGATATACATAGATAACATACATATATCTATGTGTATATATATATATAGAGAGAAAGATAAAATGAATATCTACATTATACATAAAAGGTTTCTCATAATGGTGTTAGGGTGTACATATTTACAAGCAAAAACCGGGAGACCAATCACCAAAAATCGTGAACCTCGGTCAATGACCGAGGAATTTAATGATGTTTCTGGGGTGGTAACCAACCAAAATTGGTGGCTTTTTTCAGCTAAGGAGATGGGGCCTCCGGGGTCTCCCATCACCCGTTGATATCAAACACCCAATTGCATGGTCCCAAGTGTGTGGAAATTCCCAACAAAAAACGATGGTTTCGAACTAAGGGGGTGTTTAATATGAACGGGGGAAGGGGATTAGTTGGGGATTTTGAAGAGGTTGCTCAGACGAGTCGGATCATCTCTGGTGGCGTCTTGCGTTTTTCGTACTTCCGCAGGGTGGGGTGGGAGGGGGGGCCATAACGTTCAAGTACATTTTGCATAGCCACTCATTGCGTTCAGCAGGGCACGCAAGTGGTATTGCACAGGGTACAAGGATAATGTTATGTTACGTCAGTACAAGAGTTGTTGAATCAAAACACACAGAGTAGCTTACGTCACAAGAGTGGCTATGTTCTGTACAGGCATGATGTTACGTCACCATGGAATCAACACACAAGAACATCCAGAAGTTTAGAAGCTCCTTTACGGATACTGTTGGCAACAATCCTTAGGTCCACGTTAAACCCCAGAGGAGGTTTCTGTTTTTTCTTGAACTCTGCAAAACCGGATGGCAGTTGGGGGGTACATCATCCAACATATAGCTGGGATAGTTCAATAGATTAACCATAGATTTTCCATATATCAGCCATAGTTTAACCATATATAAACCCCATTGAAACTAGAATTTTCAATTGCCATGTTTAATCAAACATATAATGATTAGCCGCTGGGACTGTAAAAATGTACCCATAACTTCGACCCCTTTCCACGCGATGTGACCATGCTTTATTCGTCCAACTGACCAACCAGATATGGTGGTTTCCATAGATGAGGGATCCATTTTAAATGGATGGTTTGCAATGGAAAATCCTTATTGAAGTGGATGATGACTGGGGGTACCCTCATTTTAGGAAACCTCCATATCTGGTTGGTGAGTTTAACCATCTTGAAAAATATGAGTTCGTCAGTTGGGATTATTATTCCCAATATATAATGGAAAAATAAAAAATGTTCCAAACCAACAACCAAATATTATCTAGGAAAATGATGATCTTTCCCAAACCAGACAGTTGTGCTAAGGGATGATTTCCCGCTTTTTTTACCGCGTGAGTATCATCAGCGATTGTGCGATTCCGAACTGGGAAAAAAGACCTTGTAGATATAAGTCAACCTACTTGGACGTGCATCCCAGTTAGTAAGTGGTTTATAATCCATATATATATAATACATATACATATATATATATACACACACATATCCGTGTATATATATATATATACCCCATTTATTCCCATATATAAGTGGGGATATGCCATATATAACTGGGGTACAACTGGGGGTAGAACCCATTTTCGAAGTGAAATGCACCCCAAGTAGAGATGGGGTACATTGCGACGATATTCACAGTGTTTGATGCCGTTGGTTAGAATTTAAATGATGAACATAGCCATGGAAAATCCCTTATAAATGGAGGTTTTAATGGAAAAATAATCTATAAATGGGCCATTTTCCATGGCTATGTTAAATAACCAGAGGGTAGTTGATATTCTCCCCTAATACGTTGTAAACCCGATAAGCCGATTTGTAACTTGAAAACATACCAATATTGCAATAGATGGGTGGTAAATCTCATCCCCATGGTAGGTGCCATTGGCAGGGTGAATCCCACATGACTCGAATCTGCAGAGTTTCCTGCTGAGATTTGGCTCCATTCTCCTACCAGAAAAATGTCATTGGAGGATACAAAATCTTCGAAATTGTGTAAAATAAACGTCGACACTCCATGTTTGCAAAATCCCTGCGAGTTTTCAGGTGCAAAATCCCCACACGTTTGCTCCTACTCGACACGTTTTCAGGTGATGGCAAATCCCTTATCAACACTGGGAAAACCATCCAATGGTGGTTTTCCAGCTACGCTTGATTACGGGAGGATTTTCTCATATTTTCTCAGCATGTCTTGGCCTAAATCCCTGTTTTACTCGGGACTCCCCCTGTTGGCAGAAAAATGACCGCAATCTCTGGGCAGTTCTCACCAGTTGATCACCCAACTCGCTGGGGACTCCCAGTAGGGAAGAGCCAGTGTCCTTCCAGCGTGGCAGAAGTTGCGTTACCCCCCGTGGATGGAGATTTTTTTGGTGAATGGGGATTATTGTAGACCCCAATTCAGCTTAGTTGGTTTCTGCTAGATATATACACTTAAAGTGCTTATGGAAACTAGTTCGATAGATCTACGATAGACCCAACACCTTTGGCAGTTATGTTTACCAACTTAGCTAACGCATTGGGGGTTTCACGGGGATGTGGCTATGCCATGTGCTGATACCAACGATCCAATTTTGGGGGACGCAAGTCGGACCCATAGCCAGATCGCCATATTTCACGAGCAAAAACTGGGTGTAACCATCAAATATTGTCTCATAAGGGGTTCGGATAGTTCACGAACAAAAACTGGGGATGTAACATGATGTAACCATCAGAAATTGGATTCCAAGTCATAAGTACCAAACTCCCATGAATGATGGGAGGACTTTGACCTACATTTGGGTCAATTGGGACAATGTGGAATGGAAACGCAACCTTTGGGCTCTCATGGTAGATGGAAACCGTGATGGAATCCAAAATTGTGGACAATAGACACGGTTTACGGAAATTTGACCAGTCAAATTGGAGATACTGGACTTTTCTCCTAACTTATAGATCATGTTCCAATGGTTTGCTGGAAAAAAAATCCTGGTAAATTTTAATCGATCGTTTTCCCAGAGAATTAAACCTCTTTCTGGCTCGGCCATCTCATGTTCGTGTCCCCGTTCGGGAGTTGCTGACTTAGTGGATCATCCAGGAAGGCAGTTCATGTAGAATGGAGAAGAGCAATCCCAGAAAGAATCCCAAAAATAATGATAATGCCGGCCTGCCCAAATTCATGTTCTATATATTGTTTTATCATCTCTTCCCCATTGAAGTGGTCGTTTTAGGAGGGTTCCCTATTTTTGGACAACCCCAACTGGTGAATAACCCTGGTTTAGGACTGGCATATCCCACTGCTTATCCCCCTTTCCACCATTCCATCCATTGATTAGTCATCATTTTGCACATGAGAATGGCCATCAAATGGAGGCCCATCCCAAATTTAAGACGAACCCAAGAAATACTCCAAGTTCTTGCTATCTAGCTATCTACAGTATCCATCCATCCATCCATCCATCCATCCATCTATATATATAAATATATACATATATATATATATCCATCCATCCATCCATCCATCCATCCATCCATCCATCCATCCATATATATATACATATATATATATATGCATCTATATATCCATCCATCCATCCATCTCTATATATATAATATGCCCACAAAATGATTGGTCGATCCCCAGTCGCCCCAGTCCACTACAGCTCTGCAGCCCTCGGAACAGAAGTCCAAGACCCGGCCGTTGGCCTCGTCGCGCTTTGTGGAAGATGCTATACCCTCTGGTAAACACACAAAAAACTATGGAAAATCACCATTTTTATGGGTGAATCTACTATTTCTATGGCCATTTTCAATAGCCATGTTAGTTTACAATGGCCATTTGTAGTTGATATACCCATTAAAAATAGTGATTTTCCATAGTTTTTTGTATGTTTACCAGAGGGTAATTATGTATAGTTGGGCAAATCTATTACATTATCTATATATATATATAACTATATATATTTATATAACTATAAATATATAACTATATATATCACTATATATATAACTATATATATTTAACTATAGATACATAACTATAGATATATATCACTATATATATA